CCCCCCTTCCGCCACTGATTCGGCTTCAACCGCCCATATAGGTTCCTGGATCTCCCTTGGCCTAACATCCTTATTTTTTAGAAAAAGTCGTTGTCCTTGGTCCCCTTATTGTTTCGCCCCTTTTTCGCTCTCTCTCTCTCTGTGCCTCTTTCGAGGTCCGACAGAAATCGTTTGCCTTTGATCAATTCGTTCCAGGCCGTCATTCAATTGATGGGATTGATATCGCCCGTCATGAACTCGGCGACCGTCACCAGCCTGGACAGTGACAGCTCGGCTGCCTCTCAGCCCACCCGCCGACCCGTCCCTCTGCAGAATCAGAAAAGCAACGGCACGACATCCGAGACCCCAGCCGACGTCACCAAGGCCACCGCGGATGAGTTGAGAAAGGCACTCCAGAAAAAGTATCGCCATGTCGTCGCCGTGCACTCTCAGCTACGCCCTTCAACACTGAGCCACGACTCCACTGCCGCTCCTAGTTTCCTTGGGTTCAGGAACCTCATGGTCATCGTGCTGGGTATGACTCGCCCCATCTTCCATCCGTGTCCCCACGTCAAGGCAACTCATGTAAGAGATTGACATGCTGACACTTCATGTCCAGTCGTGGGAAACCTACGTTTGATGATTGAAAACCTGCAAAAGGTACTGTTTCTCCGCCGCCCATGCGTACTCTTGACTGCCTCGATCTAACGTCTTTCTCAGTATGGCGTCTTGATATGTCTCCACTGTCATGACTTTCGCAGGTCTGACATCCTTCTTGGCCTGGGCCTCTACTTTCTCATTCCATGCCATCTCTTCGCCGCCTATCTCATTGAACTTGTTGCCGCACACCAAGCGCGCGGCTCTCGCGTCAGGACCAAAGACGGCAGTGCGAGTCCGACCCATGACCAAAGCGCCAGGTTCAAGTCGACATGGAAGATCGTCGCCTGGGCGCACGCCCTCAACATCACGCTCGCCCTGGCGGTCACGACGCTCGTTGTTTACTTCAACATTTACCATCCCCTGATCGGCACTCTGACCGAGCTCCACGCCGTCATCGTCTGGCTCAAGACGTCCTCGTACGCCTTCACCAACCGCGACCTCCGCCACGCCTATCTCCATCCCGTTAAGGGTGAGCTCGACGCCATGCCCGAGATCTACCAAAAGTGCCCTTACCCCGAGAACATCACGATGAGCAACCTCGTGTACTTCTGGTGGGCGCCAACCCTCGTCTACCAGCCCGCCTACCCACGCACCGAGAAGATTCGGTGGATTTTCGTCGCCAAACGCCTGGGCGAGGTCTTTTGTCTGAGTGTCTTCATCTGGTTTGCAAGCGCGCAGTATGCTGCGCCCGTTCTTCTCAACTCGCTCGACAAGATTGCCTCTCTTGACATTACCAACATTATGGAGCGCCTCATGAAGCTGTCGACCATTTCCCTCGTCATCTGGCTGGCCGGCTTCTTCGCCCTGTTCCAGTCGTTCCTCAATGCCCTCGCCGAGGTCATGCGCTTCGGTGACAGGTCTTTCTACGACGACTGGTGGAACAGCCCCAGCCTCGGCACCTACTGGCGCACGTGGAACAAGCCCGTCTCGCAGTACTTCCGCCGCCACATCTACTCGCCCATGGTCGGGCGCGGGTGGAGCCCCTTTGTCGCGAGCGTCGCCGTCTTTTTCCTCTCGGCCGTGCTGCACGAGGTGCTCGTCGGCGTCCCGACCCACAACATAATTGGTACGTCTGGTTTGTCATGGACTCCGGGGAAACAAACACATGCTGACAGAGTTAGGTGTCGCATTCCTCGGCATGTTGCTGCAGCTGCCGCTTATCGCCATCACGACGCCACTCGAGAAGATGAAGACGCCGACGGGCCGTATGATTGGCAACTGCATCTTTTGGATATCCTTCACCATCCTGGGCCAGCCGTTTGCGGCACTCATGTACTTTTACGCGTGGCAGGCCAAGTACGGGAGCGTGTCGCGGCAGATGGCGCTCACGACGCCGGGGACATTGTGAACAACGAGGGGACTCGACAATCGCGACCAAAATATAGATTTGAATAGACAAGAGCAGGTGTTTGCTTGCCCAGAAGTGAATTGACCATGTTCCTCGTTCCATTCTATTCACACATGCCACCTACCAGCCTACGCCTCCGCCACCCTCCAATTACTCTATGTAACGCTCGTTCTGTACACGTCCAGCAGATACATACATCAGCCCTCACACGTCCACCTTGAGACAAAAAGAAATAGGCTTCCCCTCACCCGCAGAACGGCATCCTGGTGCCGACCCTACGTCGGTATTCCTCATACTCCCTCCCAAAGAACCGAACAAGCAGCTCCTCCTCGTGGCGGATGCGTCCGGAGAAGAACTTCCACAGGACAAACGCGTAGCCGGCGAGCGACAGCACGTTGCCGAGCACGAGCTGCGTGCCGACGGCCCACCAGAAGAAGCCGAAATAGCTCGGGTGGCGGAACCAGGCGTAGACGCCGGACGTGACGAGCGCGTGCGACGCGGCGCGGCGGTGCTGCACCGTGTGGTTGAAGCTGCGGCCCGCCGTGATCATGGCCGCCGTGCGCACGACCTGGCCCACGGCCACGAGGGCGAAGCCGGCGGCGAGCAGCGCCGTGCGCGGCAGGGCGGGCAGCGCCGCGGCCCAGGTGCGCGACGGCAGCAGGAGGGAGGTCAGGGCGCACTCGGCGACGGCGACGGCGTGGGCGATGGCGTAGGCGGGCCAGTTGGCGGTCAGGAGGAAGGCCTTGACGTCGGCCTCGGGCGTGTTGTAGGCGGCTGTCGTCCAGAACTCGAGAAAGTGGAAGAGCGAGAGGGCGGCTGTGAAGAAGGGGAGGCGCCAGTAGGGGGCCGGCAGCACGACGGCGCCGAGCGCCGACACGGACAGGGCTGCGCCGAGGAGGAAGGCGCGCAGGGCGATGCCCGAGAGGGACTTTGCGCGGTGCGGAAAGTACTCGGCGCCCGTGGGGCCGGTGGACAGGTCGTCTGAGGAGGCCGAGGACGAGGGCGAGCCGCTGGGTTGGGTGTCAGTCTTGGCCGTGGACGGACGGGCGTAGGCCCCGCTGTGGGTGAGGCCTAGGTAGGTAATGCTGTCGGCTGGCATGAAGGGCTTGGTGCATACGTTGACTGTGCTGCGGACGGGCATGATCATGAACGCGGTGGCAGGTAGAGGGAAATACGTGATGTGGTGTATGTGAGGTGGGAATGGCAGAGGGAGATAACAGCAGTGGCAGACAGCGATTTACAACTGCCAGAGAACCAGGAAAGTTTCCATGATAAGATGCCTGATTATGAACATGTTCTCACTTACAGATGCTCAAAGCCGGCCATCGTGAATGTTGCGCCTCGCGCTGGCGTGGCAATTGTTCTCAAGAACAATGGTCTACCAATCCGTTGCGTTGCGCCGTGGACAATGTGAAGGAAGCGCCAACCGACTTTTCGTTTTCAACGCTAGGTATATAGAAAGCGATTCAATCATCAAGCCATTCCCTAACAACAAGTGCTCATGCCGAGTGGTTGATGGCGAATCGAAATGACTGGCGATGGCGAGGTTTCACTCGACACACATCAGAGTCTTCACCGAGGTGTGCTGAAGGTCAGGGGTTCACCGACAGCATGGTTCAACCAGCGAGGGGCTGCACCGCGGGGCACGGGCCGTTCAGGGGCTTCAAGGCGCTGTGGGGTCAGAAATACAGCAACGTTCCTTAGGATCTAGGGCGTGTCTCGGGCGGCTCTGACGTAATTGTAGAGCCTCAGAAACAGACTGCAGCTTGGAGCCCCTCTTGTCTTCCGCTACTGATCTTCCAACGACAACCTCACAGCAAGGTATCATTGCCCTAGCTTTTCGTCGTGTTTACTTCCAGACGGAAGGACTCGCCGCATAAGTATCTTGCCACGACAAAATCGGAAGCGACAATTTGTACCAATCAAGAAGAAAAAAAAGTGCATTGATCTGCGGTATCGTGAATCTCGACGCCCCCTAACATGGATATCCGCACAATCGACCGAGAGGAAAACAGGCGTCGCATGGCAAATGGCGAGCTCTACTATGCCTTCTCGCCTGATCTCATAGCCGATCGCCAACGGTGCCGCAAGGTGTACCAGAGACTGAACGCGGCTAGTGATGTGAGCCGCAGGGAGCTCGTTGAGCTGTGGAAAGAGTACCACCCACGCCCCCCCCCCCCCCCCCCCCCCCCACCGGTTCCGCCTTGTGGCTCGATAATTTGTCGCTGACGACCTGACAGCCTCAACTGTGACGAGACACCTCTTCCTCCGCAAGCCATGAGCCAGGAAGAAGATGACATGCTCCTTCAGGACTGGCCCTGGATCGACTCTCCGATTCGGATGGATTACGGTCACAACGTCAAGTGAAGCTGTCTCTCCCTATTATCCGCATGGCGTACTGCTGACGCTTGCTCATAGGCTTGGACGGAACGTTTATGTCAACGTGAACAGCACCTGGATAGACACCTGCCTCATCTCCATCGGCTCGCGCACGCTCATCGGGCCCAACTGCTCTTTCTTCAGCGGAACCCACCCGCTGGACCCGACCCTCCGCAACGGCACGCAGGGTCCCGAGAGCGGCAAGCCCATCACCATCGGCGACGACTGCTGGTTCGGCGGCAACTGCATTGTACTGCCGGGTGTGACCATTGGCCGGGGTGTGACGGTCGGTGCTGGCAGTGTCGTGACCAAGGACGTTCCGGATCACGTTGTCGTTGCGGGTAACCCGGCGCGCGTCATCAAAAAGGTTGAGGTATCGGTGCCCGCCGAGACAATCCCTGCCACATCGACGAACATCAACTATGCTTCGTAGAAGTCTTCACAAGCCGCCTTGTATGGAGAAGGAGGAGACGATGAGGACGAGGACGTTGATGACACCCCAGAGGACAGGGACCCAGGTCGACATGGAGAAGTAGCCGGCATTGTACACAGCCCCGAGCCTGCGAGTCGTCGCCAGTCAGCAAAGAGAATACCACGTCAGGCAGTAGATAATGCTCAACATACACCAATCCCACTACACTTCCAGCGAGGAGGCCTTGAATCAGCGCTGCGGCGACGTAGACAATGGGAGCTACCCAGAGGTACATCAGCGAGCGCTTCTTTCCGCCCTGCATGGCCAAGGCGATAAAGGCAGAAGCGAGATGCACAACCCCGTAGATGATCAGAGTCCACAGCACGGTGAAGCGCCAGATGTCGCCGATGTAATACAGGCTCCAGCGATGGTCCTTCGTCAGGTCCATCAATTGGAAGGAGATGGACGGAAACGGGGGGGTTTGGTAGTTATCTGGCGGGTAATTCTCCGCGCGAAGCGACATAATGGCGGTGGTATGGCGCTCCTGCTTTGGTCGAGACTTTGCCGAGCGACGAGACCGTTCATGGCATGCTGAGTTGCGAGGCTCGCGATAGACGAAAGGGTGATTGAAGGACAATGCTGTCGCAAGACGGTGGGTGGCGGGTGCAGTAAGGTGGGCGTGGAAGGAGGGGTGGGCTGAACGAAAGCGACACCTGGGGTGTTGTTCGGCAAGCTTAGGGGGTCGCGTTAGGCTCCATCACCTGCCTCGGTACGGACGGCTCGCCCAGAGAACGTCACTTGTGGTCCGGCGACCTGGCGACCACCATCTTCCATCTCCAAAGACGCATCCCCCTCGCCCAGGAACCGAACAAGTACATCGCGCCGAGTCATCATACTGCGTGAGCCCAACATGCCGGCAGACCGCCTCCTCAACACAGTGTTGCAACTGTACCGGAACGTTCACGACGACCACAAGACAAACCAGATAGTCGGATCGACTACGAACCTCCTCACCACGCTCTCCAATCCGCTGAACCTCGGCGTTCTCACCTCGCAACTCCTCATCGCACCCGCGATATGGCACCGACGAGATGGACTCCGGACGAGCCTCCGTATCATCAGCATCTACAATACCGCGGCTCTCCGCGTTCGTGACCACGAGCTTGACCCCACCACGCATCAGGGCCAGAGACAGAGCGGCGGGCTCACGTCCGAGGTGTGGGCGAGGGCCGTCGCAAAGGGTGCTGATGACCGCTCGCACAGATGGCAACATCTCCTGGTCCTCACTGGTGTGCTCATGGGCATGGAGGGCAATGACCGGCGGTCCTTGTCGAATGGATTGCGCAGCACACTTGAGCAGGCTGTAGTCACTGCGGCGAATCTGGCAATGGAGACGGCGACAATTGAAGGGCCGATGGCCACAGGTTCAATTGTTCTAGCGCTGAACTACGCGTTCCCACTCTTGTCGGAAACACGCAGAAGCCTGATCAACTACGATGCGCTTCTGCCACTTGCCGTGCAGGCGATGGTTGCCGAGGAGGGGTTCCAGAACGGCGACTTTCTGGCTGCCATCAATAATGATATCCAGGATGTTGGCTCCCAAATACATTGGGCGCCAACTTCTCCCTCGTATGCCGCGCTGCAGGCTCTCGAGTCGAAACCGATCATGGGGGGCATGGGTCCGCTGTCGAGACTGGCTGCCTTTGCCGTGGAACAAGCGACGGACCCAGCCGTTGTTCTGGCCGCACACACGGCGCTGATGGAATTCAGTCATCGCATCAGACACCAATGGCAAGCCACGCGGCTGTCGAGTATCGACTCTCTCGACGAGTCAATGCGCTATACTACCGAGGCTTCGCAAGTCACCGTGCCGGTGCTGTGGCAGACTTTTAAAAAGATGCTCTACGCGACGGTGACGACGTTGCAAGCCATTGTGGCGCGGAGCCTGCTGGATCCATCTCTGAGGAGCCGAGAGGTTGCTCCGGAACTGGCCACCAGAACACTGCGAACGCTACGCGATCTTTTCTTCATTGGCTCCAGGGACAACAACAGCTCGTTCCAGGTTTACTCCTTTACCTACCTCACATCTCTTGACACACTGGTCAGATATCCTGAGGCTGCGGTTGCCTTCCTGGCGGGCATCAAGCCCACCAGTCCCAATGCCGTACGGAGTCACTCACTGTACCACCCAGTGCACCGATCTCTCGACCTTTTCTACCTCAACGTTGCCGAGCATCTGCCTCTGAATATCCCCACCGAGGCCTGCGACGAGCTCATCGTCCAGCCCGCAACAACCTACCTCACTCACACTGGCCCGCCGACATCGCTATCTCTGGAGATCTTCGAGTCCGCCCACAGCGCCATCCTGTCCGCCCTCGCCTGCCCTCACAACGGTCCAATGACCGTCAAGGTTGTGCCGTTTTACGTAGACACCCTCTTCGCCTCGTTCCCCTCTCATATCTCCACCCGACAGTTCCGCGTTGCCTTCAAGACTATCATGCAAATCGTTTCGCCACCCTATCCCATCTCTGCCACAGACCCCTATCTCTCCGAGACATTGCTCGAGATGGTCCGCTTCCGCGCCCTAAGCGCCGGCGTCGAGCCTCTACCTCCGACCCCGGACGCCCTCGCCCAGACCGAGGACAACGAGAGCCAGCCGCCGCAACCGCACTCGGAACAGAGCTCGCTTGTCGTGACCCTCATCGACGCCCTGCCGTTCCTGCCGCTGCCTCTCGTCGAGGAGTGGATGACCGTCACGGCCAGGACGATGGCCGAGATTGCCGACCCCGCCATGCGCAAGCTCGTGCGGGAGCGGTTCGTCGAGGTTCTCGTCAGCGGAGAGCTGGATGTTGAGCGAGCGGCGATTGGCGTCGCGTGGTGGGGGACCAAGGGAGGCAGGGAGCTTGTCATTGGGAGGAGCGCGCCACCAGCCCTGATGAGCGGTGCGCTCGTGGAGGAGGAGAGGGCGAGCAAGCTCTGAGGTGGTTCTGGGTCTTTGCATAGCAGGGTTTGACCATGGATGGAATGTATGTATGTAGATGAAGCGTTAGAATACCCATTGCAACTAATTTTGTGCGCTTTGACTGCTTTTATCGCGTCTTTCGAGTTTGTGAACATGAACATGGCCACACCCGTGGCTACGACTCTTCGTCTCTTCTGAAACTGTAGACACGTCTGTCGTACCACACCATAGCGATGCATACCACGGTCATTCTCATGCGTGCTTCGCACTACGAGATACTTGCAACACTACACATTTCGCCATGGCCCATCTGCAAAGTGACTCACTACGGTAGGCCACACTCCACAAGACACGAGCCTGTCGTCACCTGTACGCCCACTATACCTCTTCATATTGTCCCAGCTTATGCTGGTTCCCGTGGTTTTCAAATTCCACCCAATCTCAACTGAGGCTTCAGCCAGTATACAATATACATGCATCAACTGCTACCGCGCACTTCATTCGTCAACAGCGCCACATCTCACGCAAGTCAACTTGCATGAGCATAGAGGCAGATAGAGAACACCAGCCGACGAGGCAGAAGTCCAGCACCGACGCATGCACAGCACAGCACGGTAGAAACGGAATGCGACGATCGACTTATCATTAAGACTACTTAACCCTCCATCGACCGGGCTGACCCGGCCATGGAGGCCCATCGTCCTACGATGGTCTCTAATCATGTACGGAAAGATATGAACACGACATCCCCCAAGCCCGCGCCCACGGGCCTCCGTTCCCCCTCCGTTGTTTCCAAGCGCCGTGTTCCGCGTGGTGGGCGCTGCAGCGCTGCAGCGCACAGCCCACTGTGTCTAATGAGTGTGGTATGTTTTCCTGATCCCGTTTCCATTTGCGCCGTAGAGGCTCCCGAGTTGGTCATAAAAAAGAGTCCGGCGTATCGTGACAAAGACCTACTTCCCCAACACCAGTATTACAATTATCGTCTGTGAAGGGACGAAATCCACAAGTGGATAGAGAAGTGAAAATAGGGACATTGAAGAAGAAGAAGATAAAAAGGTCAAGGGAGAGAGCTCTTAGAGGAGAGCAATGGCACCAGCGATACCGGCCACCATGGCAATCACGGGAGCCTGGTTGGCTTGAGCAGCGGCCGTGGGGACGGTCTCGGGCGCAGTCGTGGCGGGGACGGTGACGGCGGGCTCAGAGACGGTCGTAGGGGGAGGGACAACAACCTCGGTGAAGGTGCTGGGCTCGGGGTGGACAACCTCGGTGGGCTGGATGTGAATCGTCTCACCCTCCTCGTAGTGAGTGACGGTCACGGCCTGCTCGCCCTGGATAGTTGTGTAGATGACCGCCTCGGCAGTCTTGGTGACATCAGGCTTCTGAACCGTCTTGATGTGCGTGACGGGGACGTGCGTCGTGATGACTTCCGTCTTGTAGTGACTAATGGAGGAAAAGTGTTAATATTGCATTTGTGCCATTTGTGTGGTTTGCGTCACTTACGTCTGGACAACCGTCTTGCCGTCAATGACGGAGGTCTGGTAAACGGGGACCTCAATCGTCTTGGTCTGGTACTCGACCTCTTTGTCGATGGAGGTGACATCAGGGCCAGGAACTTCGTGGACCTTGGTGACAGGCACGTGCTCGGTGACGATCTGAGTCTCAATGTGGCTACTTCGGGTCAGCTGAAGTCGACAGTGTTACCCGTGATGGGTGCAGACTTACGTGATGACAGTGGTGTGCCCGTCAATGTACTTGGTCTCGGTGACAGGCTTCTCGATGGTCTTGGTGATGTAGTCGGTGGCCTTCTCAACGTGGGTCACGTCAGGCTTCTTGACGGTCTCATACAGGGTCGTGTAGACCTTGGTCACGATCGTGTCGGTAGTCGTGTACCTTGAGTTGTGTTAGTGGTCAAGCATCGAGCAGTACCGTTCAGCAGCTGAACTCACGTGTTGTAGTAGGTTGTGCCGTGCTCGGTGATGGTCTCGGTGGTGGGGCAGAGCGAAGTGATCGTGATCTCGTATTCGGTAGTGACCGTGACATGCTCGGGGGGAGGGTACTCGTGAGGGGGAGGAGGGGAGTACGACTCTTTGGGAGGCTCGTAGACGGGGTGGGACTCCTTGGGAGGCTCGTAGACGGGGTGGGACTCCTTGGGAGGCTCATAGACGGGGTGGGACTCTTTGGGAGGCTCATAGACGGGATGAGACTCGACAGGAGGCTCGTAGACCGGGTGAGACTCCTTGGGAGGCTCGACGGGAGGGTACGACTCCTTGGGAGGCTCATAAACGGGGTGAGACTCAGCAGGAGGCTCATAGACCGGGGGGTCAGGAGCGGGATAGTCGCCGGCGGCGACAACGCCAGCCAGGGCCAAGACGGCGAGGGAGAACTTCATCTTGAGTTTGGGGAGGAGAACGAGTGGGTTTTCTGTCTTGTGGACGAGGGGGGTTCTGTGGGATAGCACCGATCGAACGAGGGTTCTTAAGTAACCTTAGCGAAGGAGTTACTTGGGAGCAGCGAGGCGGACGGGGAGGTTGGCAGAGGTAGACTTGAGAGAGGCTGGTGAGAACGTTGTCAGGGAAAGGGGGAGGATGGCCGGTAAGCTTATATCTCCTTCCGAGGGCTGAACGCCATGCTCCCTGCTTGCATCAGACAGGCAGACAGTACGCCCATCCCACGAAGAAAAGGTGTGATGATGTGCCATGGCCCAGCTCTTGCCGACCGCGCTGGCCATTTAGCCTCCGATCCCCACAAGCGCATGCATTAGTCGATGCCGATGACCACTTTTCCATGGACGCAGCTAGGTGGATGGGTCTCGAGTCCGAGTCGTCACAGTCTGTGGATGAGGCCAAGGGCTACCAAGACATGGTACACCTGCCAAGGGGTGTGACACGACGTGGGTGTAAGTCGCGGGGGGTGGGGATGCCATGGGCAACAGGGGCGGACCTGGACATAGTTTGTGCTTTTTCCGGACAAAGCCCACGTCCAGCCGTGCTTCTTCGTCTGAGATCACCAGGTTTGGTGATAAGGCGTCAGGATTCCCTGGGTAAGGTACCCAGGGAAACCGGCAAAGGGCAGGCGAACGGTCACTGTGGCGCTGAACGCAGGTCAAAGGGCGAGCAACAGACGAGGTTGGCCAAGGTTGGTAAGACAACGCAGACGACAGGTGACAGGGGGTTGGGAAGGCCCTATCACGACGACATGCAATTAAGTGGTCCAATCATGGGCAGCATGGCATACGTAGACGGCATGGCCGGCGTGCATGGCTTCATGTCTATGCCCTAATCCAGACCGCTCTCGGTCAAGAGTTGAGTAGATGGGAGAGCACAGACGAATACATGTCTTTCCGACAATCGACAGAGGCGAGGGTAGCCAGCATGATTGGCTGCGATGTGGTCCAAGAATCATCGAAGGCAAGACCAAGGGGCCAGACGAACGAATGTTGATGTCGATATCGGAGGTCGGCGAGGGGTTGGCGTGATCCGTAGGGTGGAGGAAGCCGCCGTCCTGGTAAAGGGCGCTCCGTCAGGACATCATCATGGGCTTCGGGACCAGTGGTCGCAGGGGGCAGCTAGTGCGCCCGGTCCCTGAGTAGCCGGAAAGTCAATGCTGCTCATCCTGCGGAAAAGCGAAGTCGACAGAAGAAACGCCTCTTTCTGAGAAGGGGCAGCGAGGGCCGCTACGGCGTACAGCAAAGGAGGGTAGACCTCGTGTCTGAGTTCTTGGCGCTGTACTAGGTCTTAGAGCTTTCCTTGGGGTGAGAAAAATGTTGCTTTTGGGTTGTGTCGCCAGGCCAATCGACTTGCGAGGACTGTTGCGGCATTGCTCCCTTGACGACCGCCCCTTCGGTGGCAGTCGGGGCGTACAACCGGCTCCCACAAGATTCGAGGATGCATCTCAGGCCGTACAACGTTGAGCGGATGGCGCTCGGCGAGCGAGGGCAACAAGGCATATTGTTGTGTTGAACCCCACGCCACGTTGACGCCCCGGATGTTGTCAGTGTCAGAGTCAGTGCCAGCCCAACTTGTGGCCGTAGACCCGAGTCGGGCCACTATGAGTTGTTCCCCAGGGGTTGCCCTGCTAGTCGCGATCTTCGGGATCGACTGTCGACTGGAGCAAGGACTATGTATCCCAACGGACCACCTTTTCAGCACACGAGCGGGGCGAAATCGAGGTCGAGGTCGGAATCGTCTGTGCATAGTCCACTCTTCTCTTTGGTTTACAGAAAAGTAGTCTTCGCATCACGATGAACTGCTGTCAAGGGTGGGAAAACAGTAAACACGTCCGCCAGGTTGCCTGTGCCTGGCGCCGTGTTGGCAAAAAACCGAGACATGCATGTCAAGTCAGCCCAGCGACAAGGGGCCTCTTTTTTTCTGGACGTGGCAGCCCTAGAAGCCCAGAACCCCCCTGCTTTGGTCAGAAAAGCAAGGCGAACTGTCAGGGACAGCAAAGGACAGCGAGGGACAGCAGCACGCTTGTTCTGGCTGCGATGGTGCAAACCTGGCTGACCACATCCCTTCTCCCTCTCATGTTCCAGTGGGGAAGCGTGAGACGGGCGGGTTGACTGCCATGCTTTATCATGCAAGTGGGTATTGGATGGCTGTAAGACCACCGCGGGAGGCGCCAGGGCTCGAACCTGAGTTCTGCTTGGTTGTGGACCAGCAAGCAGGCAGAGAGGCTCGACCGCATGGTCAGCTGGCTTCTCCCCCATGTTCTCTGCCGTCGCTGATCGCTGGCCGGGGTTGATGTTGGATGACGGAGAGCACGAACTTACAGCCTCAGGGCAAGGGGGGGGATGGGGAGCGGGTGAAGAAAAGCTCGTGTTGACGATGGCGCCAGTGCCAGTGCTGGTGAGGTGCAGTCGCCCGGGTAGCACAGCGTCATGCGGGCAGCAAGGGGCACCATCTCCCACAGTCCACTTAGGGCGATGGCGGTCCTGGACCAAATAGCACAAACTCTGAAAACAAGCTTGTCCTTAGAGGCGATTTGGTGGTCGGGCCATGCTTGTGCTCGTCCTTTACGAAGGAGAATTTGGGGGGGGCATCGTTTCGGTCGGTGTACGACGTCATGGCCTGGTAGCTTGAAATCCGGATCGCGGGGTCGGGATGCCAGGTGAAGGGGCGGGGGTTGGTAGAAGCGTGGGAGGATGGAGTGATGGATGGAGGTGGTATTGTCGTTCGGTGTTGATGGCGGCATGTTGACAACCGGAAAGACGACAGCGATTGTTGGGGGGTTGGCGGCGCGCGTTGGGCGGGCGCCGGCGGATGGACCATGGCCTCTTGCTGTCCGCTTGGGACTTGACACGCTAAACTAGCCACCGATTTTAGCGCCCTCCCACCCGCTTTATTTTTGCACCAGCCACTCCACACGCTCGGCCAGTATTCGTTGCTGCTTTAGGGCATGCTTCTTGCCATGGGCTGGAGGGTGGATGCTTTATGGCTTTGGTTTCTGAGTTCTCGTCAACTATAACTCGATCAAAGACAGCTCTTTTTAAAAGCGGCACCACCACCAGGCGTCGACTCACGGCCCCTGTCGCTCTCGTCGTGATCGCTTAGCTCCTCTGCCGAGACCCACCATCCGCCGCACCGGCCTCATCCCAGTTCGCGCCTCGATCTACACGAGGCCGCTCCGCTCGTTGGGGTTGGGAGGACCACATAGGTCGCCTCGGGAGACTTCCCCTCTCTCCAAGACATCATCCATCCAGTCGATCGAAGAGGCTCTGTTGACTCTGGCCCCTCAGCCCTCAGCCCTCACCACTCATCCACTGATACCACCAACTACGACTCCTCTCTCGCTGACCCCGCTACCACTGCCCACCTACCCAAGAATCGTGTACGCTGACTGATCCCACACCATGTTGGCCCTCCCGCAGCCCATCGTCGCCTGGTTACCGTCACTTTGCGTCATGCACTCTGCACACCGGACGTTGTTCTGCGGATACGAGCTTTGAATCGACCGATCTATCTCGACCACCACCATCTCCAGCCACAAGGCGCGACCAGATCTTGTAAATCCCTCGCCCACACCACACACCTCCGTTCCTTGGCCAGCAGCCGGCCTTTCCTGAAGCTTGGGCTTCTGGCCCCCTCCGCCTTGGGGATCTAGCCAATGAAGTCCCGAGGAGGGTGGTTGACCATCGATTGCACAATGAGCCCCTGCCACCTTTTTCTTTTGCTCCCTTAGCGCCAGTACGCTGAGCATCAGGACCTGGAAAGAAAAGAGACAGAACTCGATTCAGGGTTTCCTCTGTCTCGCCGTAATTTCCGGGGGCCCGCTGCTTCTTTCTTGCCGTTCGCCTTACCGGCTGCGGTCCCGTGTGAGACATGCGGTGGGGGGGAGCCGCCTGTTTCACCAGCACATCTTCTCGGACCGCAGGTCGTTGCCCCCCGCCGTCGTGACCCCTAGCAAGGGAGCAGAGGGAGGGATCGGGTCCAGCGCCGGGTGCCAACAAAGGAAAGTCAGGCGAAATCGCCGTGCCTTCTCTTGGTACGTCCGTTTGCGGCCTCAGACTACACGGTGCCGACCGCAGTCCGCCTTGGCGTACCAGTGTTGCTGCGGGGTTTGTCGGCCGGAAATGGATGTTTTGTCAACAAACACTCGACTTCATGGGTCCATGAAGCGAGCTCGTGGATGGTGTTCATCCTGGCTGCAAGACGCTACCTTTCGTTTTTTTCTTCCTGAATCTTTGACCTGGGAATTTGTTCTTTTTTTGTTCGAGGTGTCAAGCCGGCAAGTTTAATTGACGGCAGCCAGTGTGCTTTCTGTGGCAGCATCTCAATGACGGCCCGTCCAGGTCCATCAGGTCGCCTGTCCGTAGCCAACTCGTAGGGCTGAGACGTCTGACAAGTCGGATGTCGGCTGATCTTACACAAAAGCTAAACGTGCTTGAGAGTAAGACAGCAAGGACGGGGACCAACAGTCGTGCATATTCACGAAAAGTGAGTGGTACATGGTCGTTGGAGCTGCCCCTTCGTATACATGATCAACACCGGTTCGAGTCGTGGGCTGTCGGCATATGTAAATTGTCGCCTTTCCAGTACACAAACGCTCAGTCTCCAACCTGGAGACTGGGGCCAGCTCTACATTGCACGTTATAGCCGGCAGCTCCTCGTCGTTGAGACATTGGTGGTTGCAGGCCATTGAGACAATACATTTCATGTGACGTTTATCGCTGTGCCAATCATGGTTTTGGTTGGGTCCAACATGGAAAACAGATACACTCTGCATTCATGTCAGCATACGAAAGTCTCTAAACCCACTCGACATTTCCTGTCCAATTGTAAACGGCCAATGTGGGAACATCCTCAAAAGAAGAGCCGGAGCAAGACGACATCCTCTGCGGTATTAGAGTCGTGAAGCAGGCCTTGGTTTCCCAACATACCACTACATACCTTCGCCTGCGAGCCTCTTCGTATTGAATTGATAGACATGACCTAAAAAGTTCCCTGGGCTGCAGGGCAGTCTTTCGTTCCCGATGTTTGACTGTGTACTAGCATGACAACATCACCGCCGTAGCATTGCCACGGCGTCCGCACACCGAACATGAACCACAGACCAAACCCCTCCAGGCACATACGACCATACCTACTGGAAAACTCGGGATCCCGTCCGCTCTCCCATCGATAAATCAGTGAGGGCTAGACTAGTAGTCGGGTGGGTGACCACCGGCGAATCCCTGGTGTTGTATGTTTTGTGTTTTGCAGCGGGGCCAGTCGCCCCTGTTGAAGCGGTTCCGCGGCGCTGGAGATGAGCAACGAAAAATGTGATCGAAATTGTGTACTGTGTTCAAATACCAACATCTCTCACACATGATGAACCCGAGGTTAAACGCATGCTCATTGTGTGTATGTGTGGGTCTGAAGGCTCATCTGGGATTTTCTGGCTACTATCATTAGTAGCGAACTAGCGCTCGATTGAAACTATTCAAGGTCATTCGCGCTTCCTTCTGGATGGACACGATCCGCTGGATGGGTGCATCCTGCGACTGGGCGGTGCTGTTTGATCCGATGGTCATCAGATCTAGCCAAACGTGCACGGGGTCTGCTTTCTCGGGAGACCGAAAATCGATTCGAACTTCGGGGATTCGGGGATAAGATTCAATGCAAATAAGAAAACCTAAATTCGCTACCTGCGATAGCAGTGTGTGTTCTGCCCAGGAAAAGGGGGATAGGCGGGCAACCCAAACATGTCCGATATGCGTGTGCAGGATATGTCAGCCTCAAGACGGTAACACAGGCCTCCCCTAATCAGCGCACCCGCGACCATAGGTAGCCAGCAAGAGAGAACGACAAAGCGAACGACACAAAACGCAAAATTATATACATGGAACGCCAGTTTCTTCTCCAGGCTCTTATTTGATTTGTCATGGCGAAGCAAAACTACACTCCTACCCCAAATTGAAACTGTTAGGCCGTATCATTCGGGAGGGCGCCACTTGAGAGCACATGGCACTCCTACTCCATGATACACCTCTTTCCCATGATGCATACCAGTAGAAGCACCACTTGACCATTTTCAATCGAAGGGAAAAGAACGATTTGGTAAGAATCAAAAGTCCAAGTTATGTGTCTGTTGGAAGCACGGCTTTCTATTACCATATACATCTATCAGAGCGTTGTTTAGAGCAGAGTGAAGAGGTCTTCCGCACGTGGTCCGCAGTAAGTAGAACGTAGGTAGGGGGTCGGAATATATCTGAATTCTGGCCCTCCGTAGCTTAGGGGGGCCCTCCGTAGCCTATATATACGTTCTCGTGCCCCTTAGCCCCTAGCCAGCCCCTTAGCTTGGCAGGCCCTTGGTGGCTCCGCAGGGGTCCTGACAACATCCCAGCCACCAGCATATCGTACCATGTTACTCATAATGCCCTAAGCTTCCCTACGTACCATCACACAGGGGACTTTAGAGAATGCATGGTCTGTTGCAACTTATGACCAAGTTCTCCCGTCATATCTCCTCTCAAATACCTTGCAAGTCCCATCATCCAACTTCTGCCTGCCTCGGAGCACCAGGGTCGTCTGAGGGCTACAGGGTAGTTCGACCTCGATATCTGACACTCTCTGTGGATCTCCACCCACAGCCTCCTCGAGATGAATGACCTCGGCGGCGATGGGGGCTGCCATCGAGCCATCCCAGATGCCTTCCTGGGTAGTCTTCGTCGCAAGCAAATGCAACGCGCCCCTTCTTACCTTGGCATGTCGGCATTTCAGAGAAGTATAGAACAAAGGAGGAACAAGGCCAGAGTCACTACTGAAACTGAATTGCCCGGTGTTAGGTTCATTACCAGCGGACCGCTGCCGATTTGTGAACGGCAGCGCCGCTGAGAAGATTCCCTTTGAACGACTGACGATGGATGCGAACTGCAAAGTATGTCCATCATATCTTGCCTCATCACCCTGGTTCAATGCCACCGCGGTAATGATGCCAGCCATTGTGTGATAGACCAAGAGAACCTGTCGAGCGAGTTGTTCCTGGAGTGAAAACGATGGCCAGTCTGCCTGCCACTTTTGGTAAGCTGTCAACCAGGCATACAAATCTCGCTGAAGGCGTTTCTGTATAACGAGGGCTTCGAACAGGCGCCCGACATTTGCTGAAGATTCGGCGATACGGCTTTGTGAGTCCAGATGAAGCGCTTCCGTCATAAGATGGTCGAGTCGTGTCCGTGCTTGGTGCAATGATGTCCACACAGATGTGACGGTGTTGTTGACCTCATTTCGAAGATTCGCTGGCTCCATCATGAGGCTTGACAGGAGCCTCGCCTGTATATCCAGCCTCGAAAACGCATCTGCAAGCCATTCGTCGGCAGGCTCGTGCCTGCTGTTGTTTCTATCATCTCTCAGAATTTGCAAGCCGTGTTTTAGATGCATCAGGCCTTGCTGGTGCCGCTTCAGGAGGTATTCAAGTGTCACAAACATAAGACATGCTATCAGGGCCACGCGGATCGACGCCCTGCCATTGTCTGACTGGATTTCGTTGAGCATGCCAATAGCCGCGTTATAATGGCGTAGCGTCACCGGATCCAGGTCATCAAGTTCCTTCCCCACAACTGTGCACTGTCGGGTGACAGCCCTCCTGTGCGCAGAACTCAATGCCAGGACACAGCTTCGAATGACAGGCTCACCGTAGCAGGCCTGGGGAACAAGGGTTGCCCAGAACGGGAACGGGAATACGCCCTGAAGCTTGCTTATCATCCGCCGAAAGAACCACTCGAGCACCTGTGGGTCTTCTCCTCTGAGAAACCCCATAGGGCCAGGGTTGTTTGAACGGCGCAGCGTAAGACACTGGGCAAAAGGCTCCGCCGGATTGCCTCCACCACCCCAGACGCCGTAACCTTTGCAACTGAGGCCTGCGGAGGCGCAGCGCCAGCAGAATGGCCAGCGCTCATCACATTTGACTCGACGAGTTCTGCAAGATGCGTGTCAGACGGTGACGCATGGGGCGCCGTGGGGATCACCTACTTGCATGTGTCGCAGCCGGTCTTGACTCGCGAGGTTACGCTGCGGGTTTTCGGGGTGGTGCGTGGTCCGACCTGAGATCTTGCCATCCTCTCAATGTGGTATCTCACGGTCGTGGAGCGGGAGGAGGATATGGGAGGAGAACCAAAGGGAATCGTGGTCTCAAACAGGAGGAGACGAAGGGTATGTTGGGTTAGAGAGTTTGACATATGCGTAGCGCTCGTAAACTCGCTAACTTGATTGGTTCGGTACTTGCGCATAGTCATAGTCCCCGGCGCTAACGGACCCAAGGTCCTGGTCAGCATCTGACACAGACCATTGATTGAGCTGAGGAGGGTTGTAATGCTACTTTCAATACACACTTCTCACCCCCAAACCCGCTTCAATGCCACTTTTTCTTACCCTCAACAATTGCGGCGCGGTAGCCACTGCACTACCTTGGATGGACTTTCATCGGGCTCGACAGTTGTCCGACTACCCGTCAACAGGTCCAACGCGTCGAAACGGGGGTGACGCACTTACAAATGCGTTGGTTGGACACTAGCGACTTCATCCATGACTAGACGGTGGTTTACGTGCGTCTGTCATTGCAACCTAAGTAGCTTGCCGAAAGAAGTATATATACCTATACGGTCGGTCAAGCAGTTCTTCATTTCGTATCCTCCATCACTTTCATCCTAACACCAAATTTCATCATCTTGTCGCGCAACATGGCTGCCCTCCAACTCCCTAGTCGACTCAAGCAGTCTTTGGAAGACACAAAAGTGCAGTATCGTCAACTTGGAAAATCCGGACTTCGTGTTTCCGTGCCCATTCTTGGCTGCATGGGTTTTGGTGATCCTCAGGCTGTTCCCTGGGCGCTGGGGAAGGAAAAGGTACATGCGCTCCCAATGGAGCACGTTTTGCAGCTACTAAGCGACGTTCGAATCCTAGGCGCTGCCACTGCTCAAGGCAGCCTATGACAGGGGCCTCAATACCTGGGATACAGCCAACTCGTACTCCAACGGAATCTCTGAGGTGATCATTGGTGAAGCAATCAAGCACTATGATATCCCCCGCGAGAAGCTGGTTATTCTCACGAAATGCAACTTTGCCGTCGGAGAAACCCCAGGTACGTTTTATCATTGACGTCTGCTGCGCCCTCTAATAGCTATCCAGAGGAGCAACAATTTGCCTTCTACTCAGAGTTTAGTAGATCAAAGGACTACCAAAACCAGTTCGGTCTCTCGCGCACTGCAATCTTCAACCAGGTCGAAGCCTCCTTGAAGCGACTTGGAACTACGTATATTGATTTATTGCAAATCCATAGATTCGACAGCTCGGTCCCCATGGAGGAGACCTTGAAAGCTCTCCACGACCTTGTGCAATCAGGTAAGGTCCGTTACATCGGCGCGAGCAGCATGTGGGCAACCCAGTTCGCCCAGCTTCAGTTTTGCGCTGAGAAGAACGGCTGGACTACATTCGTCAGCATGCAAGACCAGTACAATCTCCTTTATCGCGAGGAGGAGCGCGAGATGATTCGGTTTTGCAACGAAACCGGCGTGGGGCTCATTCCTTGGGCTCCTTTGTGCCGTGGACACCTCGCTCGGCCCCCTTCGAAAACGACGGCGAGAGCCTCTGCCGAGTCTGATCTCATTAGCGGAGGACATGGTACGTCCGAAGTTGACCTCAAGATTATCGGTCGGGTGGCAGAGCTCGCCGAGAAACATGAATGGCCGATGGCCCACGTGGCACTTGCCTGGATCAACAAGAGGGTTACGAGCCCCATTATTGGGTGCAGCAGCGTGTCAAGGCTTGACGAGGCGGTTGGAGGTGGCGGTAAAACCCTGACGGATGAAGAAGAGCGGTACCTTGAGGAGCTATATCAGCCGAGACCTGTCTGGGGCCATATTTGATCGAAGGGTGAGGCAAACTTACCTTGTGGCGGGCATATTGTCTATGATCACGTCCAGGCCGGTCGAATCTATCTCCGATGTAGACGAAATGTAGATAGATCTATATCTATCTACCTACTTCGAGGTCTGGTAGCAACTCTCCCTCTGACACATCATTCACCGATAGTATTAGTGCGCCCAGGCATGTGATCCCAAAGACGTTCAAGGCTCATTTCTCGCATTCCCACCTAGATGCCCTCTGAGGCATTGGGGTTCCCCCGGCCGGAGACCCCGCGCCGAGGCCGCGGCCGCCTGTAGCTGTCTTGGCCAATGAATGCACCCCAGCTCGGGACTCGTCGGAACGCATGCCGTCATCCAACACGAAGTCCCCTCGAAAACGCAGAGTAGCAAGCACGCCTGAGACAGCCGCCACGAACCCTACGAGAGCCCGATTTCTACGCCATTCCCGAGATCCCTTCGCAAGCGACAGTGGCCATGACAGCCCAGAAGATTTTTGCTAAGCGAAATCACCAAGCTCCACGCCCTGCAGGACTCCTTCCGCCACATTGGAAGGACTCTTGCAACCAACATCAAACAGAACCTTAAGAGCCTCCCCGACATCAACAACAACAACGCCAACAAGACTGCTGTGGGATACTGCAGCAGGAGACTCGCTTCAACGCTCACTCAAATCCTGACGGGCCAAAATGGCCCCCTGGGACGGCCCCAGCCCTACCAGCGGACCGTGCCAGCCAGCCACCAGCAGTCCTGCCCCGACATAGCCCGCTCGGCCAACGAACAACAACTGGGCCAAAAAAGGCAACACCTCAAGGGCCTCTCAGACCTATGGCTCCAAAGAAAGATGACAGGATCTCCCCGAGAGTCCCCGAGGAACAGCGAGCCACGACCCGTCTATGATCCATTAAGGAGTCATCAGGAAGTGTAAGCTCAATGATTCTGACATCACGAAAGTGACAAGAATCCCGACTGGCTACGCACTCACCCACAGGACCCTGGAGTCGCAGACACCATCCTCGCTTGGCACGTTACGCTATCCGCAGAGCTTAACGAAACAAACATCGAGCAACCGCAGACTTGGATCACGTCTGCGGTTCGGAACACTCCCAGGGCTCTAACGTCCTTTGAAAACCCCATCATCCAAACCAAGGATGTTATCGAAACGGAAGCCTGTTCAGTCACGGGTACCAAACCCACCCGACTCTCCTCGAAAGAACAGGCCGATGGAAAAGACACCAGGTATGTTCATTGCCGACAGGCATTGAAGTCGAAGCCTTCAGGCTCTTTGGAAGCTCAGAAGCTACGAGACTCAGCGGCGTGAGAGTCACCCCTCAAGCCCGACAGTGCCTCGACTAGCGCACGAGACGCTACACTCGTGACGAGGAGTATAATATGATTTGAATCATAATTTTGAATAAAAAAATTTATTATTGTATGTGTTGAGCGGGCTTCACTGCTTATGTGAACCCTGATTCATTACTTTGGCTGTGCCTGAGAGCTCTGAATACGTAGGGTAGGTGATATAAGTCTTGTGATGTGATTGATGATATCTCTATGGATTATCGCTACCCTCGTGAGTTAGATATACCTATTCGACCCACCGATCACGTAAGCTGTAATTCACGTGCTCTTGGGAGCTGTGAATCCGTGGCCACGGTGATCACGGGATCGGTGATCCCCTAACGGGATCACCGCCCTAGAGAGTTCCCTAGTATTGGTTCAACAGTATGTGACCTCTTGATTTAATATATGGAAAGTAGGATAAAGAGATAAATGAGGATAAATATTCCAGACTTATAGATATAATCCTTTCTTATAGTAATAACAAATATAAGTCTTACTGTTGAGAGGGCTTCACTGCTTATGTGAACCATGATTCATTGCTTTGGCTGTGACTGAGAGCTCTGAATACGTAGGGTAGGTGATATAAGTCTTGTGCTGTGATTTTATCCTCTCTCTCTAAATCACTACTCCCTACGTGAGTCAGATATACCCATCTGATTCACCGATCACGTAAGCTGTGATTCACGTGCTCCTGATAGCCGTGAATCCTAGCCCCGGTGATCACCATATCGGTGATCCCCTACCAAGATCACCACCCTAGGGAATCCCCTAA